TCCACATATTAAAAAAAAATTCAGAGTTGAAGTATGTTCAATGAACAAGTATTATTTATTTACTTTTATACATGAAAATAAAAACAAGTTTTCACATTTTGATTTTGGTGTGACTTCAGCATGCTCCAAACAAAACCAGTGTTTGTGAATTTCCTGTTTTTTTTGTTGTTTTTTCTGAGCATAAATACAGTGCTTATAATTCTTAGAAAGAAATTTAAAATAATTTTGTATAAAATAGCACTAATTTGAACCTTGTAACTGTAATACAAGTTTCTCAAGCTCAACTGGTGTGATGTAATTTCCTGTATCTCAACTTTGGGGAGACATAGGCTAGTGATCTAAACATATAATGAAAATTCTTTTTTTTTCAACTGTATAGGCTAATGTGGCTTACATTTCAGTGGAGATTCCACGTAGAGATCACAACAAGATGATAAAGGCTTAGTTTGGTGATATGATGCTAAAAAGAATGATGTTTGTGGACAAGTTTCACAAGATAGTCCTGACTTTTTTTTAAAAAAAGCTTGCTTTATCATTTTAAACGTCATTGGAATTATGATGTTGCAGTATCATCGAAAGAAACATGTTTTTTGTGAAACAAGATGAAGTACTTATTTAAATAATTTTACACTTGACCATATCACATTGCTGCATTAGGACCTGTTTACATCAAGCTTTATCAGTCTAAGTAACTGTTTGAATCTGCAAAGATCACTAAAGATAAATATAAAAGACTATTTATAAGTTAACATAAAATACATTAAAACTTATTACATATATTAAACCTTCTGATTAACAATGTAAGAAAACAGTCAGATTGCTTATCATTTTGACATGATAAAAAATTATTTTTATTGTGTGCCAGTGAAACTGCGTGTGGTATATTTCAAATCAAAACAAAGAATACATGCACAGTTTTATAAGACATAAAAATCAGTAATTAAAACCTACAACAAACTTAAACATTTTCCTTTGTTTCTTAAAAGAAATCTTTACAAATTTTCAAAGCTGTGAATTCATACAAGTATCATATGAAAATCAAATATTTTATTTTTAGAAGGTACTTAATTTGTAGAAAGTTAATCTGAAGTTTCATACTATTTCATTCAATGGTTATTTTTCGCAATGCAATAACACAAATCACACAACAGGTGTGTTGAACTGATGCACCTGGTTCTCAGTATATACAATAATTATGAGTTGCATATAAAAAATATAATGGTTATGCTGATTTCCAAAGGTAAATAAACATCTCAATAGCAACAGCTTTAAGTTAAACATAGTTTGTTATATGTTTCCATGTAGACTTCAAAACTATAGTGTAAGTCTTTGTGTGCTTCCCATTAGATTAAGAAAACTTTGGAATACATTAAGCACTAAGCTACTTTCAAACCTAATTTAATAATTGGGAATTTGGTATATAGTACTTAAATACCTATATTAACATGTTATACTTTCTAAAAACTTATTCAGCGTGTAGGTTTCTTGCAAATTGCATACTTTGATAGGAGTAAGCTGAAAAGAATAAATGTATCCATTTATGTATATATGCATCTGTGTATAATTCAAAGGCAGTACTAATCCATTAAGGGTCCCGAGTAGGAATATTTTTGGACAAGTCACCAATTTCCTAAGAAATACTAATTGCAGTATTTCCACAAACCAAAAATACACCAACACAATATATATATACTAATACACTTGTTAAAAAGCTGTTTTTACTCACACACTAACACTACTGTGCTGGTATCTTTCTCAAGTCATGCAAACTTAACAACCAGTCAGAATACATGCTCCACATGAGCTCCTGATTGAGGAGCGTCTTGCTGCTACAATTGTTAAACATCCATGCGTTACTGAGTGATGTATTTTTCTCTGGATTTCTTTCATTTCTTTTTTTCCAAATGAATAAAATATTAAAACAGGCAATAGTTAAAGTTTGATGAAACTAAATTCCTTTGAATCAGGGGCTCCTTAGGACCCTAAACAATTGCTAAGTCAGCTTTTGCCTTACTCCACTTCAAGCTTCATGTTGAATTTCCTTTATCCTGTTTATCAGCATGAATTATTTTTGCAGGCCATACAAGCAATTAAAGTAGAAAACAAGGAAAGGCAAGGTTTTAAACGTTCTAAAGCATCAGAAAGAAAAAGGAGTACATCAATACGTTATCAGTCATTTAGTTCAAGTTCTGGCTTGGAGGAAGAAAACACTGACAGGATGAAAGGCGTATGTTTTTTTTCACCTATCTCATTGTTCCGAAACTTATTTTAGATCATCTTTTACTTGTAAGTTTAGTAGATACAACTTAAGTGTTTTACTCAAAGGTACCCTTATTTCATTACTTAGAAATTTTTCATTGTTTTTTTTTTCTTATAAAGTTTGTTTTGTTTTTTTACAATATTTTTTTTGCCAGTTATATTTTCATTGCCAGTATGAAGAAAGAAGTGCACAGTGAAATAAGTAATTTTAATTCACCATTTTGTATTATAACAATTTCTTTGTACGTTAAACTATATATTATCTAGACTTCATGGATGTGTGAAAACCATTTTTAATCTGTGAATTATTATACCGTATCCCAGTCTTCATAGTTTGTAAAATAGTGTTATAGCTTTCTGTAGTAGTGTTGCTGTTGGTGATTTTTAATTTAAAAAAAAAATAAAATATATATATATATATATATTCATTAGTTTAAAAATATTTTATTTACACACGTTATGTTTGGCAGAAATTTGGAAAAGGAATCTGTGTAACTAGATAATTACTTGCAATGGTTGCTACAGAGTAATGCTATTATATTTTACTTTGTAGTAATTCACGCAGTGTATTTTTTATTTTAAAGGTGAGCAATAACTCTCGACCAGCTATGAAAAGTCTGTTTGAAAGTTTTGTTAGCTCTCGAGAAATAGAAGAGCATGAGAACAAAGAGGAGAGAGAACATGAACGAGATAGAGATGGACGAAATGAACATCCTACGCAAGGAAATACGATTTACGTGAATGGCGTTAATGTAACTGAAGAAATACTGCGTAATGGATTTGCTCCTTTTGGAAATATCATGAATATATCCATGGAACTGGACAAAAAGTAAGTTGTTTGATAACAATTATACCATATTAAACACTTATATCATAAGAGATGTATTGTATTTGCAAATTTTTGCTGGAAATTCTGCTTATTTAAGTTTTTGTTCATTTTTTATGATAGGATTTAAGAGTTAGCTTTCTTTTCAGTGATATACTTGTAAATCAATAGTGTTTATCTTGTCTTTTCTAATATTAACATATTTTAACTTCATGATCAACAGTTTAATACACTATTTGACAGCTTAGACTTACACAACCAATTATTTACTAAACATCACAATAATTGCAGATATATATATATTCAATACTTTCATGATTGTTCAGATTACAGCAATGATTGGAAGCCACCAGTTATTGTCACTTTGTTAACTTTTCTCAACATTTCATTGTAACTGGTTATAAATGAATTGATTATTCAACATTTACTTTTAACTAAATTGTTTAAGTAAATTTTTGTACTTTATTTTTCTTACATGGAGAATTCCCTGGATTCACAGATTTCTTCAGATCTAGGCCCCCAGAATATCATTTAAGATTGATGCATGTCCTAAGAAAAACTTTGGTGAGGAATAGATATGTTTATTTCTTGGCCTGACAAAAACTGGCAGCGGATGTCAAAATTACATTTATTACACTTGATCAGTGCATGAGCTCCCCATCTTTGCTTAGTCAGGATAACAAAGTTGATATCATCAGATATACAGCATCAATGAAAGTAAACATATGTTCGAGAACCAGGCAATTCCATGACAATGAGAGTTTCTACATGATTAGTCTAGTGTTCTGCTATAAAGATATTTGACCAGTGAGTGATGATGGAAAAAAAAAGTAGGACCCCTTGCCCAACCAGTGTAGTCATGAGCAGTATTTTTAAATGGCAATCGTATACAGCAGGTAGTGTTGTCATGATCAATGCTCCCCCTAGGTTGTGTAGCTGCACAACAACCAATCAAATCAAGTGATGCACCTTCATTATTCCAGCTGCACACATCCTCAGTATTGGTGGGGAGTCTCAAGATGTTGACGGCCTTAATGACCCTGGCAATTGATAGGCCTAATGCCCAAATAACCAACTGGTAGCAAAGTGGTCTAATGATCTACTAGGGTCAAAATTCATTATGCACATTGATTGAAAAAATTAGAGGGAACATTGGTCATGATATATGAAACATAACATGTATCACTTTCAGCCATAATCTTTTGATATGAACTGTTACAAACATTGACTGAAAAAATTAGAAGGAACATTGGTCGTGATATATGTAACTTAGCTTGTATCACGTTGGGCCATAATCTTATTGATACAAACAGTGAACAGCTTTCTAAAATCAATTTCACACTTGCATATCAAATTTCAAAAATGTTTTTACCAAAAAAATATTTCATAATCTTTTAAACTTACTTAGTCTAATTTGCAAAGAAAACCCCCCAAAAAGTTACAAATCTGAGGGGTATTTCCTATAAACAATGCACTTATTGATTTTTTTAAATAATATTTTATTAAATAATATTTCTAATCGGTATTGGTGTGCTTTTCAAAATAGGGAACATAGTTTCCCTATTGCACTATCTCCAGAGCATCGTTCCTCAGGACTCCCCAGTGCGAATCCTACCCCTTTATTCTAGGGGAGCAAAGGAGTCCTTACCACTCTCAGTTTTCAGTCACTTGAGAGGTTGACAGAGGTCTATTCCTTATGAGTGATGTTTGTACTCTTTATTTCACTCAAGGAAAATAGGGTAAAGCTGGTTACCCTCCCTCTATTAACCCTGGCTGGTTTTCCCAGATGTTGTATGGGGAGCCAATTCAGCCTATGGTTCAAAGATAACACTTTTGTATCTTGTTGTGTGAGTGTGGCTCTTCTTTTTTGGTCATTCTCTTACTATGATCATGGAAGGGGGTCCTAAATTCCTCATAATTTCGCACATGGACCATCACGTCCACATCATCCTCATAACTCCGGGGGCAGGAGATGTTACCTTGCCTCCTAGGTTGCAGAATTAGAATTTCAGTTGATAATCCCTAGCCAGAGGATCTTTGTTTCTTCGGGCTGAGTGAAGTGTGAATTGTCTCTGTAATTCTGAGTTCAGTTGGTTGCATTCTGAGCTTCTTCAGGCTGGGGGGAAGACTTGTCTGGTTGGATATTGCTTGTCTTCCCTTTGTAATTCTGGTGGCTGGCATGTGACATTCTGTAACTTTCAGGTTGGGTGCTTGGGCCTGTAATTCCGAGTTTGGTTTGTTGCATTTTGTACTTCTTCAGGTTGGAGTGAGGGTTTGTCCACATCAGTGTTGCTTGCCTTCTCTTCGTAACTCCAGTGTGCTTGATGTGCAACATCCTGTAACTTTAAGGTTTGGTTCCCTTCATATCATGTTTCTATTATACATTTATTTCATATTGCATTCCCCATGTCCTAGCTACTACAACTTGGATCTAGATTTCAGTCCACAGACCTATGGTTCCAACGACGAGACATGGAACCTCGTATGTGTGTGCTGGGCCTGGATGAATCTCATGATAACAAGCAATTTTGACTCTGTAGCCAGTTGGCCTTTACTGCCCATATTTAGATTTAACAATATCTGGTTGAGGAGCATATCTGTTCCAGAAGTAATGCAGACCTCCACTATTGTGCTTTATTATATCTCAATATTTCACACCTTTTTTTCTACACAGAAAGTGTCTGTGTAGATCTTGCCCCTCCACCAGGTCAGTGTGGGATTCTAGCTAAAGTGTGAGGGTAGGTAAGTGTGTTTCAGAAGTTTTCATTTTCCTATCCTGAAAATGTATCTCCAATAATACTTACCTCCTTTTACACTATCCTGCCCTTCCTCTCCATAATAGCCAGTGTTCAGGTCTGATAATCTTGCCAGTCTCAAAAAAGTGAATAAGAAATAATAACGGGGAGCATAGAGGTAGGTGGAGAGTGTCACAAGATTAAAATTGCTAGGGGATAATATAAAGACTGAAGCAAGCAAGGTAGAATTCATACCATTGCTTAGACGGGCAAAGAATAGAACCTTTTGTTGAGATAAATTTAAAGTATGAGCAGAGGTAAGTATTATCAGAAATATATTTTCATATAAGAAAATGTAAACTTACTCTTAAAATTTAGAAATGTTCCCAAGAAATAAAGTTTAAAGAGTAATAGATAGATGTAAAGGGTATCAGATATAAGACAATAAAAAAGGGGTTTTCAGTTAGAATTTCCTCGTTTGAAATTGTAGCTTTGATAAATGAGGGTCATACTATTAAAATTGCTTAGCATTCTTGCAAAACATATTTTTTTCACAAATTACTTAATGAGTTACTTTTAATTTTATTCCTCTATATTGCATGGAATAAAATTTAATTTTGTAACTTTCAGCATTCCCTCATTGATATTTTACAGACCTTGATCATTTACAATTTGTTTTTACTTTACTCAGACATTTATTTATGAATTCAAGTAAGCCAGTTATAAATATAAACATGCAGTATTCTGTTTCTGCAGTTGTGGTTTTGTGACATTTGAAAAAATGGAGTCAGCAGATAAAGCTATAAATGAGGTGAGTAGCTATATTTTTTAATGAAAAATACAAAATATTTTTTTAAAGATCCTACTTTTAAGTACTGTAGTAATGATTCCAATCAGAAATATTACTCATGAAAAGAAATGTCCTATGTTAGTTAATGTTGTACTTAAACTTGGCAGTGTTTTCTACTCATGTTTTCCTAATGTGAATTGCCTTTGTAAGTGTGCAATATATACATATACAGATATATGCAAATTCTCTTCCTGTCCATTCTAAAGTACAAACTGCTATTTAAAAAAGGGGTCTATCTTTTAGGTTATATTCTTAACAACTCCCAGCAAAAAATGCTAACAGTGAGAGTACCTAAGCTGTTATTAAATGCAGTCTATAATTAGTATAGATTTTAATTTTCTGGAATATTGACTTATGATAAATTATATATACCTTCAGTCAGATTGTTATGTAAAATTATTTTCTTTATTTTATAAGTGACTTTTTGGCTATAATCTGTGTAGTTTACTTACTTTTGTTCAGAATTTCTTTTTTTTTACCACTTTAAATATGTTCTTCAATAGTCTAGGCCTCACACATCAGTTGTATTTTGAAAGATAATCATGTTTTGCATTAGTTGTAAGTTATAAAAATAGATAGTTATCAAATAATATGTAATCTGTTTTTATGTAGATGAATGGAAAAATGGTATCTGGAGTTAAGTTGCGTGTTTCCTTGGCAAGAAGACAACCACCTGTTCCAGTTTCCTGTGATGGCTCTTCAGCTTCATGGACGACATTAGGTGAGACATGGTTCTATGTCTGTGATAATAGTAAAGAAGGGTGATGTCACTTCTTTAAAAAAATTATAAAGATTTATTCTGAGGAGTAAAAAAAAATTCATATGATAAAAAAGATAATATTTTTTCTCTTTTTTTCTCCCTAGTGGCTCAGCAATAAGTTTGAGAGATTATGATGCTGAAATTTGGGGTTTGATCTTTGTGGTGGGTGTATCACGGATAGCCCATTGTGCTGCTTTATGCTCTAACAACAAACTAACTTTTCTTAAAAAGTATATTTGTTTAAATTATAAGTTCTTTTTACCCATAATTCATTCCTAAATAGAATAATCCACTCCAAACTGAAAATTAAATACATCTGTTGTTATGTGTTCTGTAAAAAACTGTGACTTTAGTCATACCCCACTTAGACACTCTTTCAAACATGGTTAAGAAAAACGTTATCAAACAGTTTTATTCACAAATTCAGTTAAAATGTGTCTTTTAAAACAGAATCTAGGCTAAAAAGTCTCTTCAATTTTAACCCTATGTGCATGGATGGGGTTCAAAGTTTCATGCTCCAAACTTGTACAGGGTACCATTCAACATGATGTTATCAATTATATGTCAAGAGTTATGAACTGTTCATGTTACCCTACTTTGCTAATTTTGTAACAGTGTGAGTTAAAGTACAGAAAATACCAGATACAATGTAAAGGGATACCGTGAACAACTTTAAATATGCACTAAGGAGGTCATACAAATACAATTTGCAAACTGTACTATGTACAAAAGTATTTTTTTTCTTCATATAAATATCAACTTGCACTCCAATTTGTCAGAGTCTGGGTCAGACTGACTCTGGCATTTCATAGATGCATCTTTAATACATAAGCTTTAGTAACAATCTAATTTTTTGTGTACAACAGACTTGTACTGTTGGCTAATAGCTTGTCACATTTATTTCTCTAGTACAGGTTCAGTCTATTGGATTGACCCTGCGCACATTCAGTTATAGACAACAACTATTGAATATCTTGCTATTGGTTTTTATGCTCAAGTGTTCAAGGTGCAACCAGGGATGTATTGGAGCAACCATTAAAAAGCTCTGTAGTCAAATATAAGAACACTGTAATGCTAAAGCCTCCAACACCAAGTAGTATTACCAACCATTGTTTAAACAGATGTGATGTTGTGCCTACTTCTGGCTTTTTCTGTATCATTCTTCATTCCCAGGATGAAATTCATCTTAGAATGCTCAAATTCCTTGCCATTAAGCTAAGAAAACCATCTTTTAACCAGAAGATGAATGCACTATCACTACATCTTCAACTCTGAAAATGTAAAGAAAAAATAGAACATGAACTTTGATTGTTAAATTTGAGATGTACTAAAAACTTGTATTTCACAAAGAAAAATATTAAAAAAAAGCTCCAAGTTTCATTTTTGTATGACTTCAGAGGAATCTCACTTATAAACAATGCATTTATTAATTTTTTATTTTAGTACTTTCTGCCCATTCCAAAACCTACATACACATTGGAAATACAATAATGTATGTCTTGGTTTTTCATGTCCTTTTTTTCCTTCTCTGCCAGTGAGTTTATTTTCACAGTTACCTTTTTCAGGTGACAATAGGTAGTCTAATCTCTTCCAATGAACCTCAGTTCTGGAAATAGCTAGAGCTTAAATCTAACTAGGATTAGCTAGAGGAGATTCCAATCTATTTACATTTGAGTAAGACATCCAAAAGCTAAGTTTTGAACACTTGAGAACAAACCACAGATCTAAGAATTTTGTTATAGTTTCTTTGATTTCTGTTTTCACCACAGATAATATTTTTGTATTAAATTATCTCCATGTGAGAGATACAGGAATTTTCTTGTATGACGAGACATCAGGTAAGTTAAATTGGGTTTACTGAGTATAAAAGACTGTATATTATTTGGATGATACACATTTTTTTTATTAAATATATTGATAACTTCAATGTGTTGAAATAACATACCCAAATAGAGTAACTTGTTATTTATTTGAAACAAACTATAACTATTAGATATAAATGTTTCTTGACCTAAAATGTTGTTGGCAAAATTCTTGCTATGACACCTGAAAAAGTAATGGCAATGCCATTTTGAAACGTGAGGTTATGGGTTACTGATAAATATTTATCCATTTTGCTGTGTTTTGTAACATTTGTAGTGGAAAGTCAGCTGCTTCAATTGACAAAATAAAATATTAAAAGAAATATATCAAACAAGTTGAAATAATGTATGGAATGGAACTTTCTGATCAACAATAAAACAAATTGAAAGACTCAAATGTAAGAATGTATTTTTAATATTATTTTTTAAAAAGTTTCTTATAATAGAATTTGGAAACTTTACATCTTAAAAAAGTTACGAAATTGCTTAATGAAATTATATGATTATTTTCACCAAGAAACTAGATACTATTTAAAACATTTGTACTAACTTTCATGCAGTATGAGTATTTTGTCTGTGAAAATGTAAAAAAATTGAGGAGATGCCAGTAATGCCCTGCTAGTCTGGAAAAAGTAAAAAAAAAACTGTAGAATAACTGTTCATTACAAGTGAGTGTACTTTATAATTCTTTGTGTGCCAGTAGCTTTAAAAGGGCAATAGCATTTTTTTTCATCCATTTTTTTAAATGGTAATAAAAAAATTTAAAGCTATTGTAAAAACAGTAAACTAGTTCTTTATATCCGTTAGAATGGTGATAAAAAAAATCCTTCTAATTGATGTAAGCCAATTTTAGTATTTTTTCTTCATCTGTCAATTAAGGCAGTTTCAGAACACCCTAACATATTAAGAAAAAGCCTATAGCTTCTTCATCTATCCTTTTGATGGAATAAAAAAAGCGACAAGTATTGAAAATTGTTTAAACATTTTTTTGTCAGTTTGTATCATAAAAGTGTCTCAGCATAAGTAAAGTAAACTCACTGCTATAGGAAGAAATGTTTGAGTAGTCAAGCCATTGCCAAAGCTAAACAATGATACACACTACCAGCATGTAAAGTATGCCATTTCTGGAGAGGGGGGGGGGGTCTGGGGAGCACACCCCACCCCCTAGAAAAAATTTTTGAAAGTTAAATTGAATCTTGAGCTATTTTAACTACAAAAACTGCATACACACAATGTAATGTATTGATTTATTTTTGTTTTATCCTTAAAACAAAAAATGACTTGTATTTTACTTGAATTTCTTGCTTACCAGTATAATGTAAATTAATGCCAGTTGCTCTTTTAGGACTTCCCATTACAGCTGTGTATGAGCATTTTACCTACAAACATAGTCTTTTTGCAATGTTTTTGTGATAAGACTTATGAAAAGATCAAACATCAGAGATCTTTTTTAATTAACTGCACATTCACAATTCGGTGCTACTATAGCGTGCAGTCTACAAAGATATTTACACTATAACATGCGGTCTACACAGATACTATCATCATCACCGTTTTAATGATTCACTAAAACATAATTTCTTGCTAAACAATTTATATCTATCCACGTTTTTGTTCAGCAAATAATAATAATAACTGTACTAGTTTTGATTGTTGAAATTTATTTCATTCCGATTATATTTGCCCCCAAAATGTTATGTAATGGTATTTTGTACTTTATTGGTTTAAGAGTATTATTTATAATAAATGGCGCCTATTGCAAATAAACGAAATTAAAAATGGTCATGATGATAATATCTGCATGCTATAGCGTAAATATCTTTGTAGACTGCACACTATAGTGTAAATATCTTGGTAGACTGCACACTATAGTAGCAACCACAGTTCTTTATCTGTTCTCTATTTTCCATGTTCTCCAAAATGTCAAGTTTCTTTCAGTTTTTTTTTGACAAATTATTTATGGGATGAAGTAGTTGTATGCATTGAGAGATTCAATCGTACCTAATTTCTATTACACATTTAACATTTCTAAAGAGTAATCCCATTCATATTTGTTATGTTCCAGTGCTTAACACTCACTTCTTCTTGCATTAACACTTGTACTTGAATGGGGGTTATAATCATGTGCTCTGTCCCCTATAACCACTTTTTTCTTTTTATAGTGTGGAAACATTTTTGTCTAGCACTCACACATGTTATCAGTACATAAATAGTGACTTATGACTTGATTAACAGTATTAGAATATTATTAATATTGGAATGATGTGCAAAATAATAAATATACAGAAAACAAATTAACATTCCTGGTCATTTTGCTGGTGAGTCATAACACACACACACCCATGCCAGTTTCTCATGTGAAGTATTTTTTGTTGTGATTGCTTCCACTTGTTAGTCTAGATATACAGTTTTAAAAGCAAGAAATATGTGATCAACTAAGTAATTTTACCGATATCCACTTATAAAGCAGTTCAGTATGGGAAAACTTAAAAGTTTATAGCCATTGTCATTCATTGAAAAATATTCAATTTTTCTTGATTTGGTGTTGATTATGATAGGGCTTTCATGTCACATTGTCCAAAGTAGTATGAAATTGCCAGATCTAAATATAAGTTAATCACTTTTAAGTTGTTGTTTTTTTTAAACAAATTATATGTGTTGGGGGTATGCTGCTAGATCAAAGGTCTGACTGGGGTATGCATTATAATAAAAAGACTGGAAACTACTAACTTACAATTTCTGGGTTTTTATGTGTAATTATTATACAGTAGGTTTTTGTTAATCTTGTAAGATATATTTTTATTCATGTTAATATTGATTATACAATGTCCTTTATGAATAAAAAAATACATTATGGTTTTTGATATATCAAGAATTGTACAATAATATTCATTCCAATGAATAATCATCTTTATAGTAATTGGTATTATCCAGGAAAAAAATTGTAAGAAAACATGAATTCCTCTATGCTTTTAATAATAAGAGTCATTTAACATTGAAAATTATTAGGGTTCTACTGAACTTCTTATTAACATTGATCCTGTTGTTTAACATTGTATATTTGCCCTTTCCTTTAGCTTCCAGTTTCTCCCAGAAGGGGAGTCATCAAGACAAGCGTAAACTTGTAACATATGATGTTGATATATTTTGATGGAATTCATTTGTATTTTATCATTCTCAACATTGTAGTATGTGATTCAATTTTTGTGTGTGTTTAATTTTTTGTATTGCTTATTAAATATGTTTTGGTTTAACAATCTATAGTGTGTTCTCTCTCTCTCTCTCTTTGTCTTTTAACACCTAAATTATAACCCACCTTGACAAAGTTAATAGTGCACTAACACAAATTTTATTATAGTTTACCAAAAAGTATTTCTAATCTTTGTGCACATTTTGGGTAAAGGATTTCTTATCTTTGTGCTCGGTATGTAAGAGAAATTAATATTTGATATATTTCAGTGCAGAATAGGATGCTTTAATAGCAATTAACTTCAAGAACTGGGGAATGCAACTCATTTCCCTAATTTAGGTATACTCTTACTGAGTTTATGTTAATTGAAAAATAAATTTAATCCAATGCAAAGTGTGAAAGTACATCACACACACAATTTCTAGTGTTTATATTATTGTACAACTGGATATGAGTATAAATAAGTAAGTGTTAATTAAAAAAGTACTTGCACCCTAGTACCTCTGAATTAACATGTTTGATAACAAACATGTGACTTTTATGTTATTATCTCTCCATATAGTTTTTAATAGACATTTAATAACCTGTATACAATAAAATATTTTTATATTATGGTTTTTTTGTACATCCTACAATTTTTCAATACATGGTTCATCATTTTATATAATAAACTATTACATTTTTTAATATAACGTTATCAAACATTGATGTAGAATAGACCAAGGTGGGGTTGCTTTCTATTTTCCTGAACTTCATTAGTTTACATTAGTCATGGGTAAATTTTTTCTTTCTTAAGTTTCAGTTGACAAAGAAATTTCTCTAAGCAGTCAATGTGTTTTGCATATGAGAACCTAGGCTTAGACATTCCTTGTATCTTTAATTTTATGCACTTGTTCATTTATGTACTGACCAAACTGTAAAATTTATAATCAGTGCATATTAGTTGTGTTGTGCATAAATTAGTCATTGGGAAGTAAAACATTTAGCTTAATTATATTAAAACTAGTTGCTTATATTCAAGCTGACCGAATATTCTGTGGTTGGAATTTTACACAGATCTGAACTCCATTATACTTCGTTTTCAGTCTTTTTGAAGTAGCTTAGCTTGAGATTGTGTTTTATGTATAAGTAATAAAGAATTTCATGATCAGTGATGAACAAATGTACAGTGTATAATGGCATCTAGTTTTTTAGCTTTGTTGCCAATCTTAGCATCTGATGTATCTTAAGTCACATTGTCATAAAAGCTTAAGATGGCCCCAGATGTACATACAGTCAAAAGTCAGGCAGTACTGTCTGCCCGAAAAAGATGAATAACTCTTGCATTTGGTGCTTACTATATGCAGAAATGTTAAACTTCTGATGAAGTGGGTGGTGGAAATAGAGTCACAACCCTTGGTGCTGGACTTGCACATTCAGAAAATAACAATGGCCACTTAAATGATTGAAGCAGACTTTTTCACTGACATAACCCAAGATATGATATAAATAGTGTTCAACATTTTGGTAGTATATAAACATAGTTAGATCAAATGCTTTTAATAAATCAGTATGCAGCATTTTATTGTTTACCTTCAAGTTCCAATGTCCTTGCTTGAAGATCTTTTTCTGAAGTTTTTGTTACCCTTCATATCTAGATTATAAGCAAACGTTGTGTTAATTAAGCAGAAATGTGTGAGAAAAAGTTAAAATATGAGGATGTGTTGAGGGTTGTAAAATATGGAATTTTACCTGGGAAAGAAAAGTGGCCAACTGATACATATATTTATAAAGAAAGTGCAATTAACATGTTAATTTCAACATCAAGGAATATGAAAAAAAGCTAATGTAATCAAACAGCATATATGTGTTTTAATGTTAAACACAATTAAATATTGTTGCACATTTAGAAGAGACAAATAAAATGAAGATTCGAACTATAGTACAGATAGAAGTGGAAGAGTTCTTGTCTAGTATCAAAGAAATGGGCAGAAGTAGGGCACACTTATCATTGAAGACTCACCACCTGTCAGGTTTAACTTCAGTTTGCAGCTTTAATTGTGAAATGAAATTAGAACTAGCATGTAAAAGTTAGTAATAATTATTTGATCCCAAGTCCATAACATACAAAACCTAAAGCTACCATTTGGATATGATACCTTAACTCCTCTCACATAATAGCTTGCCCGATTCAGAGTCAGGTGGCTAGGGCGCTTGACTCGCAATCTGAGAGTCACAGGTTCGAATCCCTGCCCCACAAAACATGCTCGTCCTTTCAGCTGTGGGTGTGTTATTATGTGAAGGTCAATCCCACTATTCGTTGGTAAAAGAGCAGCCCAAGAGTTGGCGATGACAAGCTGCCTTAACTACTAAATTAGGGATGGCTAACGGAGATAGCTCTCGTGTGGCTTTGCGCGAAATTCGAAACAAACCAAACTAGGTTCAGTGCTGCCCTCTATACGCACAAATTTCGCTCACCACTAGTCTTGAAACTCCCACGTAAAATCATGCGTTTTTGCGTGATATTGCTGCACTTTTGCATATAAATTAGCATGCGATAACCCTTCTATTGCAGCCAACTCTTTCTATAGTGTTGAATGATCAATCATTTCATGATTTGACAATGTTACGCAATGACGTGAATTTTTTTTTGCTCATGAACTTTTCAGATACAGGCAATTTTTGTGTGAAAATATCTAAACAGACATTACCTGTTGCGGAAATATTTTCTGCGTCTGCAGATTTTATGTCCTTATATTTCCACATTATTATTTTACAAATGTCTCCAACTTCCACTTTCTCTTATGTGAGACATTAGGACGTTGTTCACGCTAGACCAGGGGAAACCAAACTCTTTTTTCACAGCGGGCCAGATAACTGAGAGAATGACGAGCACGGGCCGCATAACCATTTTGTTCAATACAATACAGTGAATACACAAAAAATAAGACAACAAACATATTTATTTACCAATACACAAAAAATAAAGACAACAAACATATTTATTTACCAATACACAAAAAATAAAGACAACAAACATGTTTATTTACCAAAAAGAAGGCGACGTT